TCCAAGGCTCGCCTCTGTCGTTATCGTCGTCATCGTCGTGAATCGTCGCCGACGATCGCGACAGTGGGGTTTCAAGATAAAGAGAAGAAAGAGTATGAAGACGGTAGAGAGAGAAAACATAACATAAAATTAGGGTTGGGGAAATTGAATGGAGAGAAATTAGTATTTAAATTATTAAATCAAACCTGATTTTTGCATAATGAAACTTAAGCTATGATTTTTGAATTGTGATGTTTAAATCCCTGGATTTGTGTAATTTCCACTATGCTTTTTGGCATAGTTATAAGGCCTGGGTTGGTCCGGAAACTCGACAATCCAAGCCCTAAATTGGGCAGGTACAATAATTTTGACCAAGTTAATTGGCAATTTTTATATTAAAAAATTTCATAACAAAGAGGATAAATATCATCCATTTCAAAATTAAGAACAAATGTTTCAAATTTCAAAAATCAGACATTTATTAAAATTTATGTATGATTTAATTAATTATTTTATTATTTTATTAATTAAATATATTAAGGTCACAGATCTATACAATTTCGTCATAAATTAACGATTTAGTTATTCACATATTATTTTTGGATCACAAATCAAAAATTCTATATGTGACAAATTATTTGACGATCATAATTCAAAAATTTTATAGGTCACAATTTGTTCATCAGTCATAAATAAAAAATTAAGTCACAATTTATTTATCGATCACAAATTACAAATATTATAAGTCACAATTTATTATAAAGTCACAAATTATCAAATTGTCGATCATAAATTAACAATTTTTTAGGTCATGTTTTATTTATTGCTCTCAAATTATCTTTTCCATTGATCACATGTTATTTATTGGTAACAGATTAACCAATTTAATAGTCAAGTCCAACCAAATAATTTGTAACCACCAACAACACTTGCGACAACAGTCTCACCACTAACTTCAACAACACCACAACCACTATCATCCCCAAAATCACCACCACCACATCCTATGGATGTCAATGAGTAGAGCCAAGTCGGCTGGCGAGTCGAAACTCAAGGCTCGAGCTCGAATAAAATCAAACGGGATTTTTTCGAGCCCGAGCTTGAGCCGAGCCGAGCAGAGCAAAAGCTCAGCCAAGAAAACAAGTGTCGACCAGAGCTTTCGGCTTGGACCTTAGCGAGCCAAGCCGAGTGGCTCGATTTTTTCTCTCTTTTTTTATTTTCTTATATACGGGCATATCTGCCTTAATTTTAAAAAGGCAGGCTTGCTGCCTTTTTATCTTTTCTTTGTTTTTTTTGTGTTTTTTTTAAATAAGGCCTGAGCTCGAGCCTGTAAGTCACATGGGCTGGCTCAAACTAAGGTCGAAACCTCAAATTAGGGCTCAAATCCATCGAGCCTCGAGTCGAGCCGGCTCAAGCCTTTTTGGGCCGAGCATCGGGCGGCCTGAGCCGACGAGCTCAATTGACATCCCTACCACATTCCAATAGCAACACCACCACCTCAAGCAAATCAGCACATCATCGCGCCAGATCTACCACCATCCCCAACAGCTCCATCGCCACCAACATCTCACCATAACCACTGCACCCACTACCACGATCACCTTCGTCGATATATATATATATATAGCCACGACCACTCTGACCACTACCAACTCTCCACAACAAAGGCAAAACCACCATTTATAGCACCTACAACACCATCAACCCAACACAAGATTTCACCACTACAGCGGAGAAGACACTTTACATACCGACTTCAGCTAAGTAGAGTAGATCGGAGAAGAACGAATCACCCCCAAAAATCCTAAAGTTTTCTCTATTATCAGCAACCGAAAATCCCCAAACCACTTCCCAAAACTTTCTCCTATGATTGTGGGTGCACCGTTGAGCAACACTGCTACGAGTTTGCAGCAACTCTACGTTGCGGTTTAAGGCAGTTGTGAACGACAGAGCGTTGCAGCGACGCCATCATGGCGGCATCATGATGCCACTCGAGGACATCTTCGATGGGATCGAGGGAGAGAGATAAATAATAATAATATGGATAGGTGTAATTTTTATTTTTTTATATTAAACTGTAGGTGATAAAGACGACCTAGCCATTAGAACATATTAATGCATGATTATTTTTGTGCAATCATATATACGTATCTCATCAATCGTTCATAATTTTTTAAAAATAATTTGAAATTAATTTTAGTCCAACACTTTTAATTTATTTTATAGACTAGTTATGTATGAAAAGATTAAATTTAATTAAGATGAATTGATTATGTAACAAAATGATTTTAAAACTTTAATTTTGCCTTAGAAAAAATTATATTTTAAAAAACATATATAATTTTTAAGCATTGACAGACCGATCCGACCATTGACTCACTGGTTCGACCAATTACTCAAGACTCAGTACTTTGATCGGATCAATCTAATGACTGCTTTTTGACATCTAAACCCACGTTAGTCATGCCTTTGGTGTCTAGACCAGCACTATTCTCGACTTTTACCATTTTGCTTCGCATTATAGACGATCAAAATAATATCAATGGCCCTTTTATCATCTTCTAAATTTTCCCTGAATAATTCACACCGTTTATAAATTGAAACATACTTCAAGAATTCCTAAAAAATGAGTTAAGTGTTTCAATAGCATTGAACTTGGGTCAACATTTTTTATTGGTCACTGAAGTTTGATATGTCGAGTTTTGGTCACTCAACTTAGGTTCATATTTTCGATTGCTTACTGAAATTTAAATTATCGAATTTTGACGACTAAACTTTGAAAAATAATGTACATTACTTATTGTAAACTCAACATTTTTAAAAGTTCAACACTTATAATAGTGAGTAACGTATAATATTTTTCAAAATTTAGTGAACAAAATTCTATATTTTAAATTTTAATGAACAATTAAAGATATTAACCTAAATTTAGTAATTAAAACTCGACATTTTAAACTTTAGGAATCAATAAAAAAACAAGGACCTAATTTCATCAACAATTGAAACAATTAATTTGGGGCAAAGAGGAAAAACACGCACTATATTACCGCCACGCCTAAATTCAATCTCTATCTCCCTCTCTGCCTCTCAGGGAAGAAGAATGGAGGGGAAGCAAGTAATCGGCGACGGCGTACCGCCGAGCCTTGCTGGAATGTCCAAAAACCAGCTTTACGACATCATGTCTCAGATGAAGGTGCTTATCTGATTGCTCACACCAATTTTACTGTCTTTTTATAAATTTTTCTTTTTAATAGAATTATTTGTTTGGGAGATAGAAAAAATTAAAAATTAATTCTGGTTGTCCTCACTGCAGGCACTGATAGAGCAGAACCAGCAACAGGCAAGGCAAATTCTCATTCAAAACCCGGCATTGACTAGGGCTCTTTTTCAGGTTTCTTTTTAACTTAGGGTTTTCTTTTTCAATTCCCTTTTTATGTCTTGAATTTAAATTTATGCCATGGGTTCTTGTTTTTGCTCTTTACTTCTTGCATTTGTTTTCTGTCCCTTTTTAAATATTGAATTTTTGTTCTTGCTTCTTGTTTGGATGAGCTTATTAGGGTTTCTGTGAATTAGGGTTTTAAGTGTAAACTATTTGAATTTTGCTAAGTTATCGGGAAAAATTTACAAAATAAAAAGTTTCTATCATGTAAAAATAATTTAATTAGCTGTTCATGTATGCTTCTGATGTTTTCAAAGAAATCAGGTTTGTGTTCTTTAGCTCTAGAAGTGGGAGAACGGACGCAGTGTTGGTAGATTTTGGTTTTTGTTTGTGTTTTACTATCAACAGCAGGGTTCTCCATTTTTATCATTCTAAAAAGCAATGCAATTTATCCACTACATGAAAGCATGTCATAACACTTCTTAAGAAGGGCAAAGCGGGAGAGGAAAGAGGAAAGAGGAAGTCATTCGTGTGGAATGTGTTCTCCCAAAATTGGAACCATCCTCTTCCTTCTCTGTAAGATAAATGCTATACTCAATGTCTACTCCAGTGTCCTTTGTCTTGTTATAGTGGTATAAACAGGACATAATTCAGGGGCCGTTTGAGCCCCATTATTTGTAGATTATAATGAGATGAATAGTATTTTTTTGAAAAATGAGTGGTTGAAAAGTTTTTGATTTACGTGTAATATTATTTTATTGAAGATTGTGTGGTTAAAAGTAGGAGAGAGAAAATTTTAATTTAATGTAATGAGAAATAATGGGGCTCAAACGGGGGCTCAATTGTGATACATGAGAGCATGTTAACATGCTTCATTTGTGTGGACAGGGGAGTGAAAGGGTAGGAAAGAGGGTTACCATTGTACTTTAGAAAGAATGTGGGTTATATATGTTAAATCTTTCCCTTCTGTTTCCCTAACAAAATTCCTGGATATTTTTCGACCTTTATTTCAATATTTTTCGTTCATAACAAATTGTTACCTCACCTCTCTCTCTCTCCGAACACACTATAATTTTTGTCATTCATTTTATTTATAAAGTGTTAAGTTCATATAATTATGTTCACTTGTTATTTAAAATTAGTATAGCATGACATGAATAAAGGTACAAAATCAACTATTCTCTCACATCTATTTATCGTCATGTGTAGAAATTTGACTGATCAGATGTTTGACATATTCCATATCCAGCTCGTATAAATATAATTTGGAGTGACTGATATACAGAAATTTGTGTAAAATTTAGGTGTAATTTCTTTGATTTTTTGCATTTGTTATGACTCATGATAAGTAAATGACAGTCGATTAACATAATTTGGGATCTTGTCTTGATGTTCTGTAGACTTGAGCATGTTATTCCAATTTATTGACTAAATTTTTATTCGAATTTATTGACTAAATCTTTATTCTTCAACAATTAGTTCTTTATTGTTTTTTCTTTTCTGAACATACATCAAATTAAAATTCTGGATTTGACATTGTGTTAGAATTTCAACCACTCATTTTTTCAACAAAACACTATTCCCCCCATTTTCATTACCAAAAATGGGGGCCAAACGGGGGCTTAAATTGCTGCATTGTTGTGTAATAATTTAGCTTCTGCTTTAGGTACCAGCTGTTTCGTCAACAGCATCACAACATTCTCAGCCTTCTCCATTGCCAACTCAGCAGCCCAATATTCAGCCTGCTTCATCATTTCCAGGTCAAACTGGTCAGAACCAGACAAGGAAACCGCAGCAGAACCAAACTGTAATATCAGGAACATCTGTGTCGATTCATCCACCAGTCCCTCAATCCCAATCTATGCCATCACATCCCTTGCAATTGGTACAGCAGCCTAAGGGACCTATTGGAGCCCAGTCTACATCAATGTCACTACCACAGTCCTCTCATGTTCCTAACATCTCTCAACTGCCTCATCGTTCTGCTCCACAGCCACCATCTCATCTCCAGGCCCCAATGCCCTCGGCCTCCACTCAATCACAGCAGCCTATGCAGAATACGGGACCTCAATATCCGCCTTTGCAACCACCACAGCAACCTCCATTGCCGCCTCTACCAAGACCACAAATGTCAAGCTTCGGTCATCAGCTTCACCCTCAATTAGGGCCAAATATGGGTTTCCAGCATCCAGGTGGACCACCAATGCATCATTCCCAACACATGTTTCAAGTAAGCTAGAGAATGTAGTTCACTAGCTAAATGATTTATTTTTATTTTTGTGGCTATTTACAGGCTTGATTTTGCACTTAAATAAATATATTACTTGTTACAGTCAGGAAACAAACCTACTGCTAGTATGATGCCTTCATTTCCACAGCAGCCATCAATTCAAAGTCATCCTTTGCCACCACCACTTTATCAGGTATGCTTTTTATATTTTACTGGGCTCAGTGCAAATGCTAAAAGTAGCTTCAAAGCTATCCAGGCTTGAAGCCTAGAAATTCAGAAAAATGATGGAACAGATCGAGCAAATATAGCATTACAGTTAATCTTTATCATTAAGATTACAGAATAAATGAAGATTCCTAGGAGTAGAGGCGTGATGATGATCTAAAAATTAGAGATAGGACATTAGAAGGAAAAGATAAGCCATGCTGGTTGGAGTAGACATCGATTTTATCATCTGCCTCCATACTTGGCAAATAATTTACGTAATCAGTTTTGTCTTCTTGCTAAGTTCCCGTTTGGCATGGTTTTTGAGAAGCCAAAAGTAGCTTTTGAGACTTAAAAGCTACTTTTGAACTCATTTGGCTAATTTTATAAAACTGTTTCTTTTAGTTAAAGTTTTTGGAGAAAGTTGATCTAATGTGGCTTCCTTTAAAATCACTTTCGGAATATGAAATAGTTTTACAAATTATTGTCTAAACAAAAATTAAGATAGCTTCCTCGGTGAGCTTTTCTACGTAAAGCAAAAGTCATGCCAAAAGGGGCCTAAATTTTTTGTTCTGATATGTACTTCGCATCCTTAATAGCTTTTCGTATCAATTAGTTAAGTGATAGTTGACCTTGCAAGTTCTCTCAGCATTTGGAAAATGAGTACTGTTTCATGGATGATTTCGTAGACCACTTTGCATTATCACCTAAGAGAATTTTGTTTAACTGCCCTCTGTGAGCTATAATTTTCTTATGAATAAAACATATTTTTTAAGTTTTGGCATTTATTGAAGTGTGCCTTCACAACTCTAGTGGTGTGCCAAATGCAAGCTTTTATTCATTCTTATGGTCTTCCAGGGTGGTCCACAATTAGGAACAGAATTCAGTCAAGTTGGAAGCTCTAAGCAAACAGATAGAGGATCCCCATGGATGCCTGGATTACCTGATAATACATCAGGGACACATCTTTCGGGACCATCCCTGTTCCCTGGTCAGATGGGTCCTGGCAATCAGCCTCCTCGACCGCCATCAGTAAGTTATCTTGTATCTCTTGATTTTATACACTAAACTCTGAAAGCGGAGTTTGAGGTTTTCCTCTGTGACATATAATCTAAACTAAACTCTGTGATTGTGCAGTTGAGTCCTGAGATGGAGAAGGCATTACTTCATCAAGTTATGAGTCTCACTCCAGAACAGATTAACATGCTTCCTACTGAACAAAGGAATCAAATTCTGCAGTTGCAGCAAGCGCTGCGTCAATAATGAATTATGCACATTATGCGTGATATCACTCTAGCTGTTCATGTAGCCAGTTATTATTACATAATTTTTAATGTTATTTTCGTTTTTTGACTTGTTTTAGGTCTTCTAGGTATTTTTATTTATATTTCTTGAAGGATGTCTTCAACATAGACGGTGCAGATAAGAGGAAGATCTATTCATCTATAGCACCAAGAAACTACAATTTCTGCAATAAACAGAGAGGATGTTTCACTGAACTCAAAATTAAAAAAAAAGGAAAGAAAGTTAGAAATACTTAAGAAAAGTAAAAACTTCTAAAAAGAAAGTTTTTGAACTAAAAGTTACTTTTAAGTTTTTTCTTTTGGCAAACATATTTAGAGAAGATATTTACTTTTAAGTATATTTTACTTTTTTTAAGGCTTGGCAAAACATGCTCATAGGTAGGTCCAAGAAAAAATCAAATAAGCCTGCAGCAAATTATAGGACAAGTTGGTGAGCTTCCTCAGAGAAGAAATGGGGGAGTCAGAAAAATTAACATAACCATCACTGCATAAATCAGGTCAAAAATATCATGAAAAATGGAGGACGTAAGAGTTTTGGATAAATAAACTGGCACTGCATGATTACTCAACAAAATCATGAGGCGCCACTATCTCTCATCATTTTGCTTCCGAATTAACAGTGCAGAGAATGACCACTTACTATTTGTTGCTTTGTTTGCTCTATGGTTTTCTCCAGTTCAGATATGTGCTGACTGAGAGCCTACACAGTAAAGTCAAAGACAGCTTCATCAACTATGCATTCAAATATTATAAATCAACTTTCATATATTATCAAGATCATTGTTTATTTGAATTAATATTGGAATGTAAAGAATCAACAAACCTCGTATCGCTGCAAGGCAACTCTACGTTTCAGTGCTTTTGCCTTCGTTAAAAGGTTTCTTGGTCTCAAAGTAATAGGTCGGCGATAATTCTTGCCACGATAGTAAACTAAAGCATAACCTTTTGGGACTCTTTCTATTGCCACTAAAATTCCACCGCTCTCATATTCCAACAGTCTTGCAGTTTCTTCAACAAAAGCAAGTTCTTTCTCCTTTGATATCAACTTCACAAGCTCTCTATGTTTCCAGTGTAGATGCACGTTCTCAATAACACCATCAAAAACGCCACGAATGCCTGGTAGATAACAATAATGAAACAGTGATTTTCTCTTCTGGTAACAGAAATATAAGCACTCCTTTTTTTGGATAAACAATACAGAACATGCACTCAATGAAATTATAAGTTCTCTTGCATAGTACTCCATAATGATGATAACTCACCAAGTGGTAAATATGCTTTCATTCTTAATCCAACCCGGCGGAACATAACTCTTTCCTCATCTGTGATTGTTTCCTGGTCATCTGAAGGACCAGCAGGAACCCAAGATGCTATTATTTTAGATAGCAGGCTCTCTGCCTTGAGCTTCTTAGCCTGAGACTGTTATTGTATTCAGTAAATGAACCAAAAAAAAAAGGTGAACCACCAATATGAAAAGCTAAATACAGGAAACTTAACTCCTGATGTTTATATATAAAAAATAAAACCGTGCACACCTCTTATCGACCAGGGATAAACATTTTATAGCATAGTAGGAATTGAATATTATGTGATGATATTATGGAACAATTTTATAGTTGCAAAACAATTGTAACAAATTTAAGCGTAAAAGAAACAAAGATTTTGCCCAATTTGGTCACTGAAGAATGAGAAAGGACCATAGGAGAAGCTTTTGGATAATAAACAGGGTTGTTATTTTCCACATATTGAAACTGACACTATGAATCTTGCAAATGCATGAGAAATACTCTCTCTATCCCATAATTTGAGCTTGATTTAGAATACTAATTTTTAAAGAATAGTGTTACGACATTGAGTCGTTGATACCTAGATTATTTTGACCTATTTACATCTTTTTTCTAAATTCAAAATTGAAAATGCACGATGAAAAGATTGGGCTTTATTATTTCTTACAATGGCTATTTTATGCTCAAGTCGTTTGATCACTTTCATAGTGTTAGCTCTGGATGCTTCTTCTTTCATCTTCTCATGTTCCTCAGTAGATATGTCTCTTCCCCACCGGGCCTGAGCCTCATAAAACTCTGCCAAAGTACCCACAAGGGCACCTTCATCTTCAACAACAGATATTGCCTCTGCTGGTCCGCTTCTAACTTTCTCTTCGACGTCTTGTATCTGCTTAGTCCTTTCCTGTCTTTCTGCTAAAGCAGCAGCCACAGTAGGTGAAAGATAATCCTTTCCTCGGTATATAACTATGTAGTATTTGTTTCTCAGCAGCAAGACTCCCCCTGTTAATGTCTACCACAGATGGGAACAATAACAGACACGCATGTAAGAATGAAGTGAGATTTAAGCCAAACATAGAAGTTGATCACCAATAACATCAATGGCCAAAAACTAAGATATTTTAGGATATTGAAAAACTATTAAATGGTTGTCTCGTCATTCTACAGTGAAATCATAATGGCAATTGGAGTAAAACCTCCTCCCTCATGCACATCCAAATTCATTTTAATGTATTCTACACTTCTAGCCCTTGTTGGCCCCTATTTTATAAAACTAATTTTTTCTCAAATTCATTTTCAACCACATATTTTATCAACTTTTATTATCAAAATTTACTAAAAATTGATATTTAGCAAAAACGGACGGGCATAATTATATCACTGACACTGGAAATTATGGACAGCTACTGTCCAGAGATGCAGTAGAACTGAAAGCATTTTCAGAACTGATGGAAATAGATGTCCAATAACATCTGCCATAATCTTCCAACCTTCTGAAATGCGGCTCTATAAACTTGACAGAAAGAACATCGCCAAATAGGACGTGCAACATTGTTACTAAAGAAAATGATTAAATCAAAATAAGTAACAAGCTAGATTTTCAGGTAAACCACGTCAATGGAATTTGTAGAAAGCAACATCGCCCATCTTGAGATTGCAGCCAGTCATACTGACATTTCACATAAATATGAATTGCAGCGGACCAAAACAAAATAGTGAGGATGAGAGATATATATTTCACATATTGAGCAAAAAAATCATCACACCTTTATTTCTTCAGCCATTATTTTGTTGTTTGTATTCTGGATTCCACGCTTTACAGCAATTTTTACAACTAAACTTTTCTCCCAAAGCTTAATTATGGCTTTTGCTAAACCTTGATGGTGCCTATTTCTTCCTGTGATGATAAACAGAAGAATAAGTCAAAATACATAAATGAAGACATTGAAAGTATATAACAGGTGTTTAACATACCAAGAGCAAAATGACAAGGAAGTGATTTAGCGATCTTCCTTAAGTTAGTCATCTCTGCATTGGTTAGTCGTGAACGCATCCCAGTGGGCAGAAGCCTAAAAGGTGTTTTATATCCTGGAATAGTCTGAGGAAGTAAATCAGCATCAACAGGAAGTACTCCCGTACCCCACCAATCTTCAAAACGTGGCCCTAAACCATCTAGTAAGTTATTATATTCAGCCTCTTCTTCAGTCATACTTTCAGCATGGCCAGAGAGATTTGGGTAGCTCTTCTCAGAAACTGAACTAATATCATTGCTACTCCTTACAACCGAATTGTCAGGGGAGGAAACATTAGGGACAAAAACAGCATCACCTTCACCATTTATCCTTTGAGGTTTTGAAATAGGACCTTCGTAGTTAATTCCTCTAAAAACCACCATAACACTTCCAGACCTCCATATAACTAATCCTCTTGTTCGGCGCTGATGAGAGAGAGTAGTTAGTATTTATTTATTCCACATGTATTTCTACTTGTTCAACTGAAACAACAAGAGGATACGACATCAGCAATGACCAACTAAGCCCATGTTTGGCTACCGTTTATAATTTGTCTATCAAAGGTCAAAACACTCTTTAGTAACATGTTTCGTGAGATCTACGAGTACTATCCATTTATCCAATACTCATTTCTAACTGGTTATAATTTAACAATATGTAAACAACTCCCAAACATACTTAAAAAGTTCTTGCTTGGACCTCATTACAATGGAGCAGGATTAATTGGATAGTTATGACATTAATATGCAGAACCTTTCATCGATTCAGTTAAAGACGTCACATCAAACATTTGAACTCCTATTTTTAAAATATTATTTTCACAATGCAATAATAGATAAAGAAATAAACCCTATATCCATCATTTTTTATGAAGAGTTTCAATGGCCACATCTAACGTTTCTTAATTTCCCTTTCTTGTAACACTAAAAGTTGTTTGCCTAGGCAACTAATCCTTCCATAATGTTCTCCTAATCATTCTCAATATTGTTCAATTAGTACAAATTCTATATGTCTCTCAAAAGGCAGATTTGATCATATAAAGTTAGTAACTGTCATTAATGCATGAAGGACGCCAATTTATATATACTAGAACTCCTATGACGAGATGAAGCCCATGACCAAAGTCAATCCAATATTTACACTACATTTCTACTCACATAATCGTACGTTCAGCTTAAGTTTGGAAAACTTCAAAGTTAAGGCATACAACAAACTCCTATGCAAAAGGTATATCAAGCAACACAAAAACTAAATGATGACAAGCAACGACAACAATAGAGGCCTAAGGAAATGCATTTGCCGATTTTTCAACGCCCTTTTAATACTTATGTCATGTTTGACAAATTTAAATTATAATTTAAGCTGGCCAAACAAAATTTTTATCCACCTATTTCATGAAACCCACGACATAATACCTACTTATTATTTACACATTCCATAAGATCCACAATTTATAAGCACCTAAAAGCACTACCAAACAAGCACATAGTTTTTTCTTGTTATACAACATGACTTTGTACAACCTGTGATTAGAATACAAACATCCTGTTTCTGCAACATGTTGCAGTATAAACCCAATATATAAATATAAAGTTCAAGTTCCAGATGAAAATTGGACAAAGCATTACAAGAGTAATTGACATGATACTTGTGTACATTGTTTGGCTCAATTTGTAACTCAATGATCAAGCCTATCACTAATATTATGGTCCCCCATTAAAATTATAATTCATTTTCTCTCTCTTCTTATTAATCACACATTCTCCAATAAAATGATATTACACGTAATTTCAAAACTCTTTCTTCTTTTTTAAGCACACATTCTTTGAAAAAACAATATTCCAACCGTTAAAATTTCAAATAATGGGGGTCAAACGGGGGCTATATGACATGCTGAATTGAAAAACATTATCTCCTCAATCTACAAATAATGAATTACAAGGTTCAAAGCTCACTAAGAGCACTTAGCAACAACAGAAACAATATTCATGAAAATCCAAAGAACTAGATTGATACTAAAAGCAACAATCTTGTCGAAAAATCATAATCATATGATTAAAGTTTCAACATTCAGAAAGCACCAACCTCAACTATCTCGTGGGCAGTCTTCATATCATGGGCTAGCACCTCGTGGAACTTCAACCTCACCAGCTCACACTTCCTCCACTTATCATGAATCTTCTCAAGAACTTCACCAGTGATTCCAGCTTTAGGCACATTTATCCTCTCCCTTAAAGTTATCCCCATCCTCCTCAGCCTCCTCAACTCCTCGTCCTCTATTGTCAATTCCGCTAATGACGGGGTCCTCACCCCCCTTCTCTTAAATCCTCCTTTCTCCTCCTCCACTTCCTCCTCATTCACACCCCTCTCCCATGGCAACAATGCATCATCCTCATCATCTTCATTTTCGAGCAAAATTGTATCAGGCCTCACCCAATCTCTCTTCAACAAATCCCCCAGCTTTTCTCCCCCATCTAACAACCTCTCAGGATTATCAAAATCCAAATTCAAACTTGAATTTACATCACCGTCCTCATCATCTTCTTCATCATCCGACCCTAACCCAAGATTACGCAACCGAAGTACAATTCGCTCAATGGCGGTAGTTCCAACATTGGTTGAATCCGAATTCGGGTCAGGTTTCTTGGAACCCTGTTTAAGAGGAGCGGAAGGCGGGGCTGGAGTAGGAGGGGATGGCCATTTATTAAGCCAAGAAGAAGAATGGGAGTTACGGGGTTTTTGGGAAGGGGTTTTTGTAACTTTTGTAGACGGAGTGGAGCGGAGGGAAGAAGAAAAGGGTTTAAAGACTAAATGAGAAAATGGGTTTGGTTTCCGGCAAGAGAAAGGGAGTGTGTAGAAGAAGCGCGGCGGAAGTGGAAGTTCTGTTAATTTCGCCGTCGAAAGGGCCATTTCCGGCGGCAGTAATAGCTAAGCTTTTGCTGGTAGTTGGACAGGTTGAGATGATAAGATAGTAATTTGGATACTTTGGATTGTTATTTATTAGCCTCCATATTTATACTATCGCCCTCCACTTTGTCAAATTGTAACTACAACAAAAAAGAGAGAGAGAGAAAAAAAAAATTTCATAATTTACAAAAAACTTAAAATAATTTTTTCGATATGTGTACAAATTGCGCACCTAAACGTTCATATGAGAGCGTCAACGCCAAGATTGAAAGGATAAGTTCTAATTTCACTCATGAGTGTGATATAACTTTTATTCAGGCATTGCATGACTATTGTCAAACATCATGGCTGATGATTGAGTGTTAAAATGTATATTTTTTGCCATCTAGAAATGTATGATATTTGCTCTATTTCTTGGCAAAGAAAGCAAGTTTGGAAAGCTAGACTTTCCCATCTAAACTTCGATTTAGGAGATTGAGACATATCCCCATAGAAAGAATGAAGTTAGTAAATGATGGACGAGTCTTTACGAAAGTGGTCACAACAAACCATTAAAGGTTCCAAGAGTATTATTGAATTAATTGAGATCATACACATTGATATATGTGGATATCCAAGTCTATTTATAAAGTTTATCTAATTTAAGTGAAACTCAAACCCTTATATCTCATATAAGCAAAGCGAACTCTTTCACCTTAAGGTTTATTTGTGACAAAGTACTAAACGCAACTTTAATTGAAAATAGGTATCTTCTAAACTTTCTTACTTTACCGATGATACTGGTCAGAGATTTCTTTCCTATTTTCCCTTCTCTATCTTTCATTCTCCACTAGGTATCCGGCCTTTTGAAAGAGAGAAGGAAAAAAAAAATCCGAATCATAAAGGACAATTTACACACTAAAACGTACAAATGGGGACTTCAGTGCCAAGATTTAAAGGATATCTTCTGATTCCACATGAGGGCCTTAGGTTGGGGATCATTTGCACAAATATGCTTTTGGTGCATGCCATTAATATCATCATGATTTTTTTTTTTTTTTTTGGGTTAAAAAAAAGTGCCAGAGGAGATATCTAAATAATAATAATAATAATCACTCTGAAAAAATCAGGATATGTATAATATAAAACCTTTTAGAGCAGTTATCTAGATGTGGTATAACTATACATACATACTCATCCACATTTATGCTAATATAACATAATACAGTTACAAGGCTTCAAGAGTTCAGTGTTCAAGATTTTATTACCTTCTACATAAATTTATGAAAAATCCCATCATAGGAAAAGAAAATTGAAAAAGATTCGTCAAGGAATGGTAACTCTTCTGCTCAAGGAAGGTGATGAGTTAATTATTTCCTGTCCGAGCTCGTTTATCTTGTTGATAAGAAGCTCCTGCTCCGTCTCAAGCTGAACCACGTACTCTTCTTGAGTTTCGTGCAGACTTTCGAGCTCACTTAATGATTTTGAAACTCCTTCAAGATCATCATCGTCTACCAAAGACTGAAGCTTGATCATCATATTCTTCATCTGATCAAATCCAACATCAAATATGAGATATTATATTAGGAAAGATCACTTGATCATCATTTACTAAGGGCCTATTTGGAATAACTTCTGCTTTCTGGAGAAAAGCTTCTGAAGAAGCATATAGAGCCAACTTCCTCTAAAAATTCATCTAATTAAAACAAAGTATTTCTAGAAAACTACCCAAATAGGTCCAAAAGCAGCTTCTTAGTTTTGAGAGAAGCTTTTGGCTTTTCAAAATCCATGCTAAACAGAGCAAAAGATATAGTGATGGTAATAACCTGATCAGAAATTAGATGGTGCATTTTAGCTGGGGACAATTTAGAGTCTGAGTTTGATTTCTTCTCCAATTCAGGGATTCTTCGTGTAATTTGAATATGGATCTCGCCGCGTTTTACTCCTTGAAGTGGTATCCATTTGTCAGCCATCTGATTGGGAGGCAGCAGCTGATATTCGACTACACAATCTCCTATACTTGATGTGGGCAACAGTGCGTTATGATCTTTTACATGCAACTCAAGGAGACTACCATCATCGGGAAATTCTAAAGTCTGATTCCATTTTGGATTCAGTGTTTTATACAGAATCTGCAAGGACATGCGAAAGTAAGTCGATGAGAAAAAGAAGTGATTTAACTTCAAGAAAGCCAAAGAAAGTATATGCATTAGTTACACACGTCTAACCTTAGTACTTCTCTTCAAGTTTCCGTAGTGCACTCTCACATATGGATCACTTGTTCCTCTGATATCAGCAGCAACAAGATCTCTCGCTTCGATCAGAACAAGTTCAATCCAACCATTACCTGAACTCGCATGCGAACCCTGGAGAATGCCAACACACACAAATAATCATTATAAAGATTTCACTAGCTTCCTATTGGACACTGAACGACATTAAATCATAATGGAATCTTCCTATCAGTCTAAGCTCCTGATCGGCTAAGTTTTAGAAACAAAAAGTTTTTACGTATTTTTAAGCTTAGCGAAACATGCTTGAATGGATGCTTAAAAAATTCACATCCCAAATCATAATCGGAAGCTTTCGCTTTAAAATAATCATACCTTAGTTCCTTCATCATCTTCAACTCTCACTGCTTCAATTTGAAGCCGCAGCTCTCCAGAATTCACTTTTTCGAGGGGAATATTGACATCTCTTATCGAACCTTCTATAAGACCTTCTAAATTAACTCGTGCACTACCAATGCTCTCGTCTCCAAATGTTTCTTCTTGGTAACACTTTATCTTTAAATATTCACCTCCTCCTATTTCGTCAAATTCAAACTTCTGATTCCAGACTGGATTTGAAGTATATGAGACGGTTTTGGTTCTTTTGGAAGCCTGTGAATAAATATATACATCAGTGGAGTTGAAGTAGTTTGATTAAATACATATATATTCGTGCTTCCACTGTTTACTATGTTAACAGGTCTCACCAACATATTTTCAAATTAAAGGAATTGGACCAAAGTTTCATTTGATTAGAAATGATGAAAGAAAATTTTAAATGGCAGTAAGATGCACACAAATGAAGAAAATGAGATCTATACCTTCCCATAATACAATTTAATGTCAGGGCCAGATTTCCCAATTTTGTCCTTCACAATAAGGTCCTTCCCTTCAACCACAGTTATGCAAATTTTCCTCCCAGTTTTTGAGAGAAAGTTTGAAGCCCCGTCTAGTGAATGCTGAGAGCTCAGATTGAAATTAGTCAAGCTATGTGAACCATCTGCATATTGCCACTCTTTCAGTACAAGCTTCACCGTCAACTGCAAGGTGGTTATAAACAAAGAAGGTTCGTTTATCGGCAAATAGTTCAATAATATAGATTTATTAATATGGGTATGAATATATGATGCAAAAAGAGTTATACTACTCCGAAACTTTTTATTTACATTATTCAGTTGCATTCGTAGAAGTTGTGAAAAAAAAGAAACAGCACCAATCTGGTGGCAAAGCAAGGTGATAGGCAATTGTGGCAACTGTGGTTGATCTCAGAAGTTGCAGATTTGTGTATTGCATCAGAGAAGATTATCTTGGAGTGCATTAATAGGGAGGTGCCGGGGTGTGGGGGGGGGAGGACGGGGGGTTTTGAGGCTTTGGTGTTGTGCGGTGGGTGTGCAGATTGGGCTGGAGGTTGTGCCATGGTGGTAATGAGAGATATAGAAACAGACATTCACATGCATATGATGTCGGTGAGGCTTAAAGTGCGTCATGCCACAGGCGGAGCAGTAATGGAGGATCCAAGTATGAGGAGAGTCATGATAAATTACACTTTTGCTACTTGCATATAATAACAAGATATAAATTGTTGAATACAACTGATTGTTTTCGGATGTTATTCGACCCCCTATTAAGATCCATTTAATTTGATGGATTATTGAACAACCAAAAACATCACCAATAACAGTTGGTGGATTTGAATGGATATTACTACTAAGACATCCAAATTTCAATTTCTTCAATTATAGCTGGAAAGGTGATTCAGTACATTACAAGCCCTGATGCCTAATATCACCCAGACCAGATTCATACACACTTTCAATTTAATATCTTAACAGCAGCTGTCTTATTTACCATATGCTCTAAATTCAAAAAATAATATATAGAAAGAGCAAACGGACATTTGGATTTATATAGCCACGGTTATTTATCCACAAGAAAATGGAGTAAAACATACCTCCCCTAAATTAACTCCCTCAAATGGAACAGTCATTTCAATTTCTTTTCCACATATCTCAGCATGCTCAGCAATCACAGTGGAATCAGCTCCTGTCGCCCAAAATATGGTTGAGTCATCTGGAGCATATCTCATCTGTATTGATTAGATGGAAGAGTTCATGTTAGAAAGTGTCCAAACAAACTATCGCAATTTCAAATGCTGAGAACCTAATCTTCTTCAGAAAAATAATCTACGATGTTCTGTCTCTAAGGATTGAGGAAACATGAGTTACGACATACAATTGTTCAATTTTTCCCCAATGCGGAACAAAGTTTTTTCATAATCCTTTTCTAATTACTCAAAACTTTTCCTGTCAAAATTTTATAAAACTGAATCCATCAAATGAACACTCTAAATCACACTGCATAACCTCAAATTGGAGACAACTAGCAACGAGAGACTGCACCTTAATTTCACAGCTCGTAAGGTAGTCATATTTCACACTAGCGGGAGTCCATTCATATAGATGGAATCTAAGAATCCCTGCATTGTCATGTAAGATCATGTTGAACGTTGAGTCCCATTTAGGATTAGATCCTGTTCTCACATTTGTTCTCCTCGTCAATTCTTCGAGTTCAATCTCCACAAGTGTGTGCAGCTCTTTCTTTTCAAGTTGATCCTCTTCAAAAGAATCAATTTCTGAACACTTTTGTCTTCTGGAGGGACTGCACTTCCAACTACTCCTACAAATTTTTCGAGCAGAGAGAACTGTGATATATAGTACACCACCAACAGCTTTCTTCTGTAAGTCTGAGGCTGGCAGAGCAAGACACTGGCGGCGAGGTTCAACCATTCTCTTACTTAGTGTATCAGTGGCAAGTTTAACCTGCAA